AAATTGAACCCAACTATATATAAAAGGATAATGGCTCATGTGGAACTTGGGTATATCTCAAGAATGCAAGGTTGGTTTAACATTTAAAAATCAATCACTTTCATTGATTGACATATTGAAAAACAAAAAAATTACATATCTATCATTATATATACATATATAATCATTTCAACAAATGCAGAAGAAGCAGTTGACAAATTACAACATCCACTCCTAATGACAGTTTTCAGCAAACTAAGAAGACAAGGGAAATGCCTCAACCTCATAAAGGATATCTATGAGAAACCTACAGTTAATATTTTACTTAACTGTAAAAGACTAAATGCTATCTGTCTAAGATTAGGAAGAACACAGGGATGTCTGCCCTCACTAATTTAGTCAAGATTTTCCTGAAGTTCTGGCCAGTGCAATCAGGCAGGAAAAAGAAATAAAAGGCACGTAGATTGGAAAGGAAGAAGTAAAACTGCCTTTATTCACAGACAACCTGATCCGCTATGCAGATCGTCCAAAGGAATGCAGAAAACAAAAACCTACTACAACTAGTAACTGGTTTTAGCAAGGCTGCGGGATACACAATCAATATATAAAAATTAATTTTACTTCTATATGCTAGCAACAAACAATCAGAAAATGGAATTCTTTTAAATGCCAGTTACAACAGAGTCAAAATTTAAGAAAACCTATGTGCTAAACCCTACAGAACATTGCCAAGGGAAACTAAAGAAGACTTAAATAAATGGACTGATGTCCTTTGCTCATCGTTCAGAAGACTCAATATTATTACGATGTCAGTTGTCCTCAAATTGATCTATAGAAGCAATGCAATCCCAATCAAAATTCCAGCAAAATTGTTTGTAGAAATTGACAAACAGCTTCTAAAATTCATACGGAAATGCGAAGGACTTAGGAAAACAACTTTGACAAGTGAGAACAAAGTTTGAAGGCTAACACTACCTAACTTCAAGACTTACAGTGCTACAATAATCAAGAAAATGTGATGTTTGCATCAAAGAAGATAAATGAATGCAAGGAAAAGAACAAAGTGTCCTGAAAGAGACCCACACATATAAGGACAACTGATTTTTGAGAAAGGTGCGTAGGCAATTCAGTAGAGAAAGGACAATCTATACAGCAAAGGGTGCTGAAACAACTCTCTGTCTATCTCCCTCTCTATCTCTCTCTCTCTATTTACCTACCTACCTATCCGTGTATCCATCTACCTATGCGTCTATCTGTAAAAAGAACTTTGACCCGTATCTCACAATATATGCAAAAATTAACTCAAGATGGATCATGAACTTAAAAGTATAAACTCTACGATTATAAAACTTCTAGAAGAATGCACAGGAGAAAAATCTTTCTTAACTCCTACACCAAAAACACGATCCATAAAAGAACAAATCGGTAAACTGGACTTCATCAAAGCTGAAACTTTCTGTTCTTTAAGAGACATTGTTAACAGAACGAAAAGACGAGCCACGGACTGGGAGAAAAGATTTTCAAAGCATATGTCTGATGAAAGACTTGTATCCAAAATATATTTTTAGAAAACTCTTAAAAGTCTGTAGCAAGAAAAAAACCCCACAATATTTAAAGGTGGACAAAAGGTTTGAGCAAATGCTTCACAAAGTAGATATACATGTGTCAAACAAGCACATGTAAAGACACCCAACATCATTAGTCATTAGGGAAATGAAAATTAAAACCACAGTGAAACATCCCACAAACCTACTAGAGGGGCTGACATTTAAAAGAGCGACCGTGCCGAGTGTTGACAACGCTGTCGAGGAACTAGAACTTCCCGACCCTGCTACTGGGAATGTGGCATGGCATAACCACCTGGGAAAACAGTTTGGCAGTTTCTTTAAAAGTTGATCATACACCTAACATAGTGGCTGGACTCCAGCCGTTCCACTCCTACGTGGAGAAAAGAAAGCATACGTCCATGCTAAGACCTGTGCACAGGTATTTCTAGCAGCTTTATTTTTAATAGCCCCAAACTGGAAACAAACGAAATGCCCATCAACGAGCAAAGGGATAAACAAACTGTGGTACAGCCACACGTTGGAATTCTAGCAGTTAAAAGGAATGAACCGTTATTGATACATGCAACGAAATGAATGATTTTCAAGATAATTATGCTCAGTGAAATAAGCCAAATAAAGAAGTCCATGACGTATCATTACATCTATATAAAAGCATTAATATTTTAAACTAATCTCTAGCGACAGAAAGCAGCTGAGTGGCCACCCGGGGAGAAGCAGAGGGAGGCACTACAAAGGCGCGTAAGGTGGCTTCTGGGGTGACGGACATGCTCACCATCTTGGCGGTGATGGTTTCACTGGTGTATATTTATGTCGAAACTTACCAAATGATACATTTTTAATAGGTGCAGTCCATAGGGCGCGTATTACACCTCACGAAGGTAATATTTTCAAGGAATAGGAAATAGATCGGGGTGGGAGAATGCTTTCCTTGAAAAATGTCCTCTCCTTCCTGCTCCCTCCTACTTTCCTTCCTACTACACCATGTTTTTATGTGTGCCTGTTTGGTTTTCTTTGGAACCGACCTTGTCTCGCATCCCCGGTCCCTGCAGCTTCTGCGTCTGTGCGGATCCCTGTGCGCCGTTCCCGAGGTGGCCACGAGGGGGCGAGGTGGTCCCGCCCGAGAACCCAGCGCCTTTTTCTTCCTGGAGTTAGTAGCAGGGAAGGATTCCAGCCGAATCACATTTCCGCAAACTTGGGTGGTCAGATGTAAGTGGTGCTGGAACAGAGGTTCCTTACGTTTAGTCGCTGCCGCCTCGGGGTCGTCCTGGGTCATCCTGAGGCCCACGCTGTCCGGACCCCAAGGAACCGGCTGTGGACGCTCAGTCGCCCCACTTCGGGGCCACCTCACTCAGCCTCCCAAAGACCCGCGAAGAGTCCTGACCAGAGAGAAAAGCATTCGTGCTTCTCGCGTGGGTGGAAACTGTTCCCTCTCCTTCCTCTCAACTGCGGAAACCCATCGCGAAGTTCTGGCGGCGTTCATTCCGGGCGAGGGGAGGAGCAGCGCGGAGGGGCGATCGCGAAGGAAGAAGGAGATGCGGGAGGACCAGAAGGCCGGGGAAAGGGGACGAGGGGAGAGAGAGCCAGGAAGACGGAGAGCCGAGGAGAGAGGGCTGGAGCAGTAGAACGGGAGGAGGAACAGAACGGGCGAAGGAGGGAGCGCGGAGAGGCAGAGGAGGAGCGGGAAGGGGAGGGGGAGGAGTCACATTCCCAGGCGAGTTCGGTTCACCGGCCGCCCTCACTCCAGCTGCCGCCAGCCACGACCGCCACAGCCCCACCGCTGGCCTCGGGCTCTCAGCCCCAACGTGCATTCGCCCCTCAAGGACAGTCTCTCCGCCCGTCGTGGTTCTAACGTCGTTTGATTCTCTCCCTGCCCCTCGTCAGAGCCCGGTGCTCGGTTCTCCGGGTTTCCCGGCCTTTCCTTCTGTGTGATCTCCCAGCGTCCTTTCAAACAGATTCCTTTCCTTCTTAAGTCGGCCGGAGTCCGTTTCTGTTCCTTGCAGTCATAGACCTTGGCTGATCTTCCCGTCCTGCTGGAGGAGTGCTCTGTGGTGTTTGTTACCGCTCGACGTCTTGGTTTTCCAGGAGGACGCGTCGGCGTCCCCTCACACTCTGAGGAGGACAACTTCCTCCCCAGAACCAGAGCAGCCCCTTTGCCTCCTTCCTCCTTCATTCAACCCTCACCTAGTCTCTTGGGACAAACTACCTCTTCCAGCGACGCTGGGCGTCTCTCGGACTCTGTTCTTTAGTCAGCCGCTTTCTTTTCGCTCCGGTTAATGCTAGTTTTTCTGTTCCGTGTATTGGATCAGGGGAGAGACGGCTTTGGGACACAGTGAAGAAATAAAGGGGAAGATGAAATACACAGATTGTGGTTTTGGCGTATAATATGAATTTATATCTATTACCCGTGTAAATATGTAGTGTGGTGGTATTTTGAGTACATAAAAGCTGCATACACTGTGAAGGCAACTTGGGTCCACATCCCCTACGACCCAGCGATGAAGCGCTCTTGGGTGCCCTGATAGTGTACATGTTTTAAATCCGTGCAGTTTCCGGGTCGTGATATATTGAGAAGGTGGGATGGAATTGACTTGGCCAAGCTCTCAGAAGAGAGTCTGTGGCTGTATAATTGTCAGGGCCCTGCCTCGTGGCCTCCACGGTGGGCGGTTGATTTTGAGTCACCGCAGGCGAGTATGGTCTGGTTGGTCTGAGTGTTTGATATAAACGTTAAACACGGTTGATAACTCTGTATCGTGAATGTAACAACTATGCGTTTGTTGTAAGAAAGAATTACAACGACCACAACAAATCCCCCAGAGGTGCATGAAGAAGAAAAGGAAAGCTCCCCCGCCTCCCCACCCCGCTCCACTGCGGCCACACCGTCGTATATATATATATGACGTGGAGGAGGCGGTGGCGGCTTTGGGACGTGCTGGGTGCTGCGCGGCCAAGGGACCCAGGAAGTCCCAAGTCCCGCCCTGACAACCGTCTGCCCTCTCTGGGCCATGGGAAAAGTGAGAAGGCAACGAAGAGGAAAGCAAGGCTACTGTTTGCAGAAATGTCACCTCAGGACAGGAGACTCTGGTAAACTGAGGCGGAATAGGCGGCTTAGGAGGGAGGCGTCAAGGGCTCCTCTTCCCGGGCCCGAAGCCCAAGAGTGGATCTCACCTCCTTTTCCGAGGTGCGAGTGAAGTGAGGAGAAGTCAATCAAAGGAGGGGGGCGCAGAGAGAAAGCGAGGCGGACGGCCACGCACGCAGCTCCACTGTCCCGGGAAGGGAAGCCTTGGGAGTGTGCGCGGGAGCCGCGGGCGCCCGGGGAGGACTCACCCGCCCGCTCTGGCGAGCGCGGAAGGCGCGGCTCCCGCGGGGGTTCCATGGTGTAATGGTGAGCACTCTGGACTCTGAATCCAGCGATCCGAGTTCAAATCTCGGTGGGACCTTGCCCATCCCTTCAGGATGAACGCCACTTTTTACTCTTCAAACCGCGTGCGGTGTCGCCCTCGCGTCCCGCTGTCGCAGAGGAAGGTGCGGGGCCCCGGAAAGGAAGCTCCTCGGCCCGCGCTGCTCCCGGTCCCTCGCCCCTCCCGCTCCTGCCGCCGCGTCCCCGCGCTCTCCCGCCTCCTCCGCGGGAGTCGGGGTCCCGGACACCGGGTTCTGTGCGGGCGCGTCCACACGGACAGGGCCGGCGTGGCGGGGTCCCTCCCAGCCTGCGGTGCCCCCGCTGGCCCCGCGCAGCTCTGCCCGTCGCGGCGCCTCGGAGGCCCCGGCCCCGCCGCCCAGGGTCCCGGCGACCGAGCCAGGGCCAGCCCCTCGGCAGGGTCGCCCTCGGGCCTCGGGGCCAAAGGCAGAGGCGGCGTCCGCTCCGTCCCGCACCACGAGGGGCCCCCGCGCGGCCCGTCTTGTTTTAGGACCCGCGGGCTCCTGCGGAGAGAGAGGGGTCCGCGGGAGACGCGGGGAGGGAGGCGGCGGCCGGCGCGGCCCTCGGCCAGGGTGTCTGGGTTTCGGGGTCGACGCTTCGAGACCCGGCCTGGAGGGGCTGTCTTTTCTTTAAACGACCCGTTTCATTCAGAGTGTTCATTTGTTCTAAGTCTGACGCACTCAGGCTGCGGTCAGAACGTCCAGCTCCTAAGTCCCCGCGGGACGCTCAAGGCCGCTGTCACACTCGACTTCGGAGCCCGACCCCGGGGGTCTCCTCCCTCCGCCCCCAGCTGCGCCGGAACCAGGACTCCGGGCCGCGGAGCCCGGCGTCGGTGGAGACCAGGGGTCCCCGAGCGCCGGCCGCCCCGGCCCGGGCTCCTCCGGGGCCGCGGGTGAGCCGAGCGCGGGCAGCTCCGAGGCGCGGGCCCGCGGGCTCCCCGTGCGTCCTGCCGCCCCCTGGCTCCGCGGAGAAGACGCCCGAGGCCGGCAGCGGGCGGAGGCGCGCCCCAGCTCTCCCGCCCCGTGGGCACGCGCGGGGCGGGGCGACCGCGGGCCTCCCGCGCTGCGGACGGCGTCCTCCTCCGGGCGCCTTTCGCTCAGAAGCTCCTCGACCAGGGCTCCGGGGCACAGCAGGGCTGACGGCCTCAAGGCTGGGGAAGTCCGTTAGGCACTCTAAAAACCCAAGCTTTCCCGTCAGTAAGGCACTGAGAGTTGGCTTCGGTCTTGGTTCGGATATTCCCCTTTTGAGCAAGGAGACCTCCCGCTGCCGGGGAGAAGAGAGGTTCACGGCTCTTGTTCATCGAACCGGATCCGTCCGTAGGACGTGCCACCTCTGCTTTCAACGTCCTGAACGCTCCCTCGGCATCCTGTGCTTTTCAGTCGGTTTTCTTTGGACGCGCCCTTGTGTCCCGCCCGCACCCCGCCGCCGCCAGCCCGGCGCGGGTCTCGGTAGCTTCTGCGGCCGAGCGGGTCTGCGGGCGCCGGCCACGAGGGGGCGCGATCGTCCACCCCGCCTCGGTCCCCGCCTTTTCTCTTTGGCCGGGGAGTTTCTGTCCGCCAGGACGTTGGGGATCAGAAGCGAGGATGAGGGAGGTACGAGAACAGACACGTCCTGGGAAAGGGGTCGGCCAAATGCCCACGACTCCCAACACCGGATCTGGGGTTTTCTTCCGGATTGTAGTTCAGTTGTTAGCGAACACCGACACAGGATCGTTTCGCCACCGCACACGAGGGCCAGTCGCTGGAACGCCAGGCTTGTGGCAAGAGAAGAGGTTTATTATCCAAAGGCGGCCAGACGTGGAGATGAGAGTGAAAACTTAGATCCGTCTCCTCGAAGGGAAAAAGGTAGGGGTTTTAGGTAGGGGAGGGGGCGTGGGTGGCCACCAGCCTGGGTTTGGCCTTGAAGACTGAATTTGTCTTCCCCTAACTGTCTGGACTTTTCTGGTTAGTTTTCATCTTCAGCCTGCTTGGGCTTGTGAGGCAGAATCTTGATGTCTGGACCTTGACTTTCCGGGAAAGACAGCTCCCTGCCATACTAAGGAGGGACAGAAAGACCTGGTTGTTTTCGAACCACAGTTGATTATGCTGAGTATGCACAGCTGCAGTTAGCAAAGCTTATCTCGAAGTTTTGTTTTTCTCTCTCTTCTTCTAGGCCAGGGAAGAGTCTTTTCAACTTCTTCGTTCTCGGTTTCACAATATCCCGGCACTTTGGGACAGGGGAAAAACTAAAGTTACTTCTGACGGTGGGGTGGGCATGGGGGTGGGAGTGGGGAGGTTGTGTTGTTTACGATTCCTACTCCCACTTAAGGAGAAGGGATATCAAGGAGGATTCCTAATTCTCCAGGCTACTGAAGCATGGCAGGTGCAAACTGGAGGCTGAGAGCTCGCTCCTGCTGTGTGCCTGTGGAGGTAAGAAGAGAGGGCTGAGAGAAGAGGTGGGGGGGGGGAGAGGAAGCTGGAGGCCGACATAGGAAGAGGCTGCTTTGGGGTGGGGAGGATGGGTGGGATGGTGTCTTGGGAAGTGGCCAGCAACGGTGTAAGGTGCAGAAGCAAGACATCAAGCACGGCAGCTGACACTCAAGAAACGAAGTCTGAGGAAAGAGTCGATATTGAAAGGGCAGGAGATGGGTAGGAAGGCTGCGCAGTTGCGGCCTCTCAGTAGCTGGGCACATGGGAAACTGGTCACGGCTCCTCCCAAGACTTCCTATGGTCCATTCCTGGGAGGATGACAGGCAGGCTATCCTGGCAAGACTCAGGTCCGACTGCGGTTCTGACTTGCGTGGCCTATACGTGCAAGGTGTCCCAGGCACCAGGACGGCGCCGTTTCCCCACACAAAACAAGCGTGTCATGCCTTCAACTCAACGGGGACAACACCTGGAACAGTTGTAGGCAGCTCCTACCTCAGACCATGACAAGGGCGAGCACACGCCCTCGCCGCCCACAGGAGGATGCCCCAGCGCCGTTCTCCTGAAAGCTTCGGCGTCGAGTAGGGCGCGGAGCAAGACCTTATCCGTCCCTGTGCGCCAACGCAGCAGAGACTCGCTGACGCCGAGAAGCGGGCCGCGCTGGGACACCAAGAGAACAAGCACCTACGCCCAGCTAAGCAAAACGCAGACGCCCTGTTCCGAAGCCGCCACGACGCTGGAGAACGCTGCAGACTGCTGAGAAAAAAAAAAGCGGAAAACCGCAGATACTTAACTCCGAAGCCTCCGTCCTTCTGCTTTTCAGACAGCGACGAAAACCAGGGGAAAGCGCGAACGCAGTCCCCCGCTACCACAAATTATGCAGTCGAGTTTCCCACACTTGGGGAAATCGCAGGGGTCAGCACATCCGGAGTGCAGTGGATAAGCCTCGCCCTGGGAAAACCACCTTCGTGATCATGGTATCTCCCCTGCCAGGTAAGTATGAGAACGCGACCTCCCTCCCCGGCCCACGCTCAGACGCCTCGCACTGTACACACAGGGTCACTTTGCTCCCCGAGCCTCCCTAGCCCTTCCACACCGCTCGCACACGCGGTTTCAAGCAACAGCCCTGGACTCGCTCCCACACCACGGGAGAGCATATTGTGTTTAAGCGGCAGATCACGACACAGCAGCCCCTGCGCTGCCATATCTGCATGGGTCCCGCCCTGTCCGTGACGTCACGACAAACAGCCCTTCCCTCCAGCCCACGCCCCGCCGCCACCGTCTCCTCCCTCCTCCCGCGACCTCCAGCCGGTCAGCCGGCGAACCGGCGGCCGGTGGGGGAAGTCACGTCGGCCTCTCCCTCCTTCCTCCCACTCCGACCTGTTGGGGCGGCGCGCGCGGCTTCCTAACTCTAGCCCTGCCCAGCGCCTGTCTGGCGGTCGGCTCAACCCCTGCGCCCTTCTGGAAGTAATGGCTTCCCGTTACAGAGGAAACCGGTTCCTTTCAAATCCACTTATCTTTGTGATGTAGCGCTGTGTGTGTGTGTGTGTGTGTGTGTGTGTGTGTGTGTGTGTCTATTTGATGCGGGCTCGGTGAGTCCAGGAGTCGAAAGAAAGATTTCTTGGACTCTCAAGGTCTGGCAGTAGTGCTCTTTTATTCAGAGAATAGTATGGAATGGCATAGGGACAGGACCCATGGGCAGTGAAGAGCTGCTGCAGTGTGTTGAGAGTTGGGGCTAAACTTATAAGGCATGGGTACCTGACTTATTTCTACCACACAAAGAAAAGATGACGTAAAAAGTCATTAAATGGTTTCAGTGCAGATGGGGTCTGGTTACTGTGTGGTCTATAACTTTAGATATGAATCTGGTCATAGAGATGGGCATGTAGGCCAGGATGCCCTGGGCTTCTCTCCCTGGGGCAACCCTAATCCACACCGTAAAATCCATTGGGTCCTATAGATCGGCATGTAGGCCAGGACACCTTGGGCTTCTCTCCCTGGGGCAGCCTTGATCTGTGGATCATATTGAATCATATTGAAACGCATTAAGCATCACGACTGCCAGCGAAAGCTGTTCCGTTCTTGAAAGTTCAGTTTCGTCCATCGAAAATTTCATTCAGGTTACTTTCAATCTTTAGGTGTGCAAAAGCGTTTTGGATGCTTTTTTCCCCATCCCCTTTCTGGGACACGTGTTATGGTGAACGACTAATCAGGACCCCTCTCCCCGGTCTAACAGGCAAAACTGGCAAGCAAGCCGCATAGGCTTAGAGTCAGTGCAAAATCTAGGCTGTACAGCGAGGCGGCCTTGGAGGTCATCTTAAGCCTGTGTCAGAATGACCTTGCAACCCTTCACCTCGTGACGGAAGACGCCAGCGAGAAAAGATCTGCAACCAGAAGAGAGAAAGGGTACCCAGCTCTCATACCCTCTCGCTACGTCTTTAGGTTCGGGGGGTACCTCGCCACCCTGGGACTTGCCTCCCTCCCCACATAGATGACATCAGCATTCCAGGGTACGTAACCAAGAAATTCTTACTTTATAAACGAGAGAAAAACCAGATGTACCCTGCCACGGAGGGAGGGTTTCGCCGTTTGATTGTTGGCGTATAGGACTGTTCATGAGTAAGCCCCTTTCTGCTCTTATGGACGGCCTCGTAAGAAGGCACATAAACTGTGCTCAGATCTGTAGACCTCCGTCAGAGCAGTTCCTGCAGGACGCTCTGTTGAGCTGTTTCCCAGGCTCGAGTCCTCACCTTTGGTTATTGAACGAACTCTTTCAAGTAACTTTTATCACGATTCTTTATTTCAGTTGACATTATTCATGTTTGCACCTCCTGGGCTCATCCACTTTCCTGAACTTGAACCCGGGGCCCGAGGGTCACCGTCAATAGTCAATGTGACCTTTCGACCTTGTCCCCAACACAGACCTAGCTGAAAGGAAGTCAGTCTTGTCAATTTGCCGTTTTCTTGTTTAACCAGAGGGGTGACTCAAGGCTCACAAGGATTTATGAGCTTGTTTCACAGAAGGAAGAGAATGCCTTCAAGGAAGTTACGATCACCAATCACCAGAGATCACCACTCAGCAGATAACCGGCCCTCAGCTGCTGTTGATGCCCAGAAGTGAGACTGCCCAAGGGCTTATCAGGAGTGAAAGAAACACGCGTGACCCCTTGGTTTCTCCTGAGAAACTGCTCCTGCCAAGCCCCTTAGCTCTGTAAAACCCCCTGCTTTCTTCTCTCGTTCAGGTGGATTTGAGAGAACCTATCCTCCCGCCTTCTCCGCCAATTCGAATAAACCTTTCTCCATCTCCAAGCGCTGGTGTCTCAGTGATTGGCTTAGTGTGCACACGAACTTGAGATTAAGGGGTTTGGCATCAAACTGAATGCCTGTTTTTACTTCCTTGCTCTTGCTTTGCTTTCTGGGAAACGCTCTTGACGTTATCCTCCAACTCTAATTGTTTTGTCCTGTTTCTACTATTATGGCTTTAATAGCCAACTGTTATGTTTTTCTCTTAAGTGTTCCTTTCTTTCTTGCAACCAGTTCTTGTTTCATAGTTTCATCACCTCTGAGACTGTTAAACTATAGGGTGTCTTGTTGTTGTTGTTGTCGTCGTTGTTAAGTTGTCTCCTGGAGAAAAAAAAATTTGTTTCCAAGGAGAAGTAAGCGTCTGCTACAGCACATCCTTCCAGGTTATCAGATTCTAGCTCTGTACATTGACCTTGAGCTTTTTAGTAATTCTTTGGAAATTGTGGGTTACTGATGGATATGTAAATTTGTCCTTCCTGGCAGTTATCATAATTTACTTCCTCCAGCCAGAGAATGAAAGAGTTCAGTCTCCATTTGCAATTCCTCTCCGTAGTCCTTTACTCCCAAGCACTTTACTTTGTGTTGTTTTGACTCTCCCTTTGGACGGATTTTTAACATCCGTCTGCTACCCTCTATCTTATGAGTAAAATACATCCTTTAACATGTGTTCATCGTTGTAACTATGCGAGTCATGGTTTTACCTTTCCCTGAAAATTGCTTTTCAAACACTTCTCCTTGCATGTGTTCCCTATGTTACCAGCTGCACGTTTTGGAAAGTTCTCTCTGTCGTATTACACATACTACATTTGTACTGGATATTCTCTGCCCTTCCGGATTCCCTCTCTACCTTTCTCCTCTGATCTGAGTGCCTGAGGCTGACCCCCACAGCCAGCATTTCCTGGTCTTCCTTGTCCTCTGGATCCAGGTGCGTGCAGCCAGTGCAAGGAGATCAGAGAGGAGGGGAGAGAAGCCAGGGCATTTTTAAAGCCCCCAGCAACCTCCCTGCCAGGCCTCAGGTTGGTGTCACTCGTAGATTCCTCCTCCAAAGACCGTGGTCCTGTCTAGTGATCCTCCCTGAGATGGCAGGTCTCCTTGGGTCTGGTGGCTACTTCCCATTGCTATGGACTCAAATGTATCCCCCTAACGTTCATACAGAGGCCCTCCCCTCCCCCAGTGTAACAGTATTTGTAGATAGGGCCTTTGGGAGGTGATCAGAATTAGATGAGGTCTGGAAGGTGGGGCACTCATGATGGGATTCGTGCCCTTGTAAGAGACACCAGAGAACTCCCTCTCCCCTTGTCTCTGCCCCTTGAAAGGGAATGTTACCGAACCCTAAGGGATTGGTGACTTGGAGTCCCTGCTGCCAATAGAACTAGACCAGGTTCGGAATAGCAGAGCAGAAACTTTATTTATTGATTAATGAATGGAGGAGGCAGAGTTCATGCTCTAAAACACCTTTTCCTCAAAGGGAAGCTGAGCAGGGTTCTTATGGGGTATGAAGGGAGAGGAGGTCTCTGCATCATCACTCAGGGCGGGGGCATTTGGGGCATGGGCAGATCTTCCCTACTTGCAGACAGCACCTTTGCACACATTTCCTCTTGCTCCCGGCCCCCCATTACTATCTTGGACCTTTCTGGTTTGGACCGGTTCTGCGGTTTGGCCATCTGGCAGTGTTCTGCCTTAGCTCCTATAAGCAAGCACAACTTGAAAACACAGCATTAGACATGGAAAATGTTT